CTTGATTAGGGCTTCCACTTGAGTTTGGATTCCCCAAAGCCCTTTATTCAACCATGTTTGAATGTCTTGTTCATATATTCATAAGCTCTCACTAGGGTTTTGTTTACCCTTTGCTATGTTCATTTGATCCATGGTCATTTTTTAATATATTGCTTATTTGAACTTCTTTGTGATTGCTCATATTGATTAAATCTTTGCTCACATATTCAAGTATTTCCTTCATGAACTCTCATTTTGATAAACATATTTACTTGTCTAAATACTCATTCACTTGTTGATATATCATGCTTGATCATACCATGTTTATATCATCCTTGATGATTACATTTGTTAAAAGTTTAAACAACCTTGTCTTGTTAAGTTTCTCTTGGTATTTACAATACCTGCATTCATACAACTATTGTGTTTCTATACTCATCCTTAGTTTAGACCTAGTTCAAACCCTAGGACCCCCTTTGAAATTTTTAACTTCCTTCAAGTCATAACTATAGCCCTTTGTGGCTTCAAACTTCAAACCTCCAAGTTAGAACCATAGCCCCTTGTGGCTTCAAACTTCAAACCTTCAAGTCAAAACCATAGCCCCTTGTGGCTTCAAAATTCAAACCTTCAACTCAAAACCATAGCCCATTTTGGCTTCAAATCTTAAACTTCAAGTCAAACTCTAGCCAAACTTTGGCTTCAAATTCAAAACTCTCATTCCCATAGATGAAACATGAATCATCTCTATTGAATAAATGTCTCTTCTATTTCCCACAAACTTAAATCAAACATTTCAAGCATTTCCATTTTAAGTGATGTAAGTGGCACACTTGTTGATTCAAAATCCAAGTTGGAGTCCTTATCTTATTATGGCATAAAAACACTTCTTTTATTTAAGTGATGTAAGTGGCACACTTGTTGATTCTATATCCAAGTCAAGGGTCCTTCTCTTAATATGCAAAGACTCATTCAAAGGAAAATGCGGCATTACTCTGGATTTTATACATCCAAGTTTAAAGCTTCTCCCCTTATTATCTTTCTAAAAATGTTTGTGGTGAATAGGTGAGATATCTCCCTTTAAATGACAACTTGTCTCTTCTCTCAAAAAACAACAAACCCAATTCCACTCATTAGTAGGTGGAACTACGAACACTCTGATTTCTCAATTTCCTTTTGAGAATACATAGGCATAAGATTGTGAAATCTTAACGAGCATAATAATAAATAAAACCCTCAGGTTCTTATACCTTTATCTTAAACCATTTCAACTTACACTACAAAAACAACAAAAATATCACCTATCACTCACTCAAAACAGTCAACAAATCCTCAATACACAGCAGATGATTTTATCAACAATAAGCACATATATACGCAAGAGGTTCCTATAGGATACTATAGATACTTAGGGTGCTAATACCTTCCCTTAGTATAACCAATCTTGATTCACAATCTCTTACTGCATTGCATTGCACACACCCACAAGTTTATTTAGATTTCTCCCCTTACCTTTCTTAGGATAAATTAAAAGTTCACATGTAGAAAAGGCCAACCTTTTTTGAAAGAAGAAAAATCCCGCCGCTACACTAGTTCCAAGTTATATTTCCAAACCCAATTTCAAGCCTTTTTGAGCTCCAAGCCTAATTGCTATTTAAGCAAGCTTGCTCCATTCCAAAAAAGACCCTAATTATTTTCTACGTTTTTTCTAAATTCACTTTCAATTCTCTCTCACTTTGTGCAGAAGTTTTCACTCTCACTCTCCATTTTCATCTTCATCCCTAACCTCACAAAAGCTCCACCATTAAAGCTTAACAAGTTTTGCATTGAAACTTGTTAATTCTTGAGCTAAACCTTCATCACATTACTCCTCCATTATTATATTATGCAATAGAAGCTGATTTGGATCTAGATCTGAGTTTTAGAGGTGGTTTCTTGAAGAGCTTTTTAAGAACATTCGATATTGGTTGATATTTGCGTTGTTCTTCAATTTTCTCGCTAGGAATTCATCGGATCTCTGGTTTTCTTAGCTTTTCTCATCAAATTTTGTTTACAATAATTGTCAAAGCAAATCTCAGCTTTGTAGGTTGGTAATTATTGGATCCAAACTTGATTTTAGCTTATTTTGCATTTTCACAATGTAGATCCTTGTGGTTTTTGTGTGGTTTGATCCATAGATTTGCATGCTTGATATTGTTGATGTTTGATTGATTCAATTGGTGCCTTAACATGTTGCATTTGATCATTGAAATGATGTTGGAAAAGTGATTTTGCAAACTGATTTTTTTGCTGTTTTAGCAGGTGTAATCGGTTACTACCTGTGGAGTAACCGGTTACACCCTTGCCTGCACACCTGGGTCTGCTTTTGAACATGGCGTAACCGGTTACACCTGATGCTGAATTTGATTTTTGACTTGTTTTAAGCTTGTCTTGATTTCGTTCCACTTTTAACCTTCATTGCTTGTTATGATGGATGTTTGTGGAATATTCTAGAGCTGCTTAGCCTTCATTTGTAGTACGTATGTGAATCTTTGATATATGATTGTCGATTGTGTGTTTCATGTCCATTTTGCTTAATTGCTTACATGTTGACACTTGCTTGTTGTTGTTGTTGCATTTTCATGATGCTTGATTGTCAATTACATGTCTATATTAATCGTTTAAACGTTGATACATGCTAGTACACATTGTCAATTGTTAAATCCCGTGATGCATGTTCATATTTAATTGCTCCATTGTTGATGTATGTTCATATTGATTGATTGGTATTTTGATGCATATTTACATGCTTTATTTGATCTTGAATAACACATGTTCACGTTAATTCATGTTTAATCCTTATTGAATGCACTCATGCTACTGATGCATACATTGTTGTCTTGTACGCACATGCTATTAAATGTTGTCATTTTGTTGTTACTGCATGCATGCCTGTTCTAGATGATATGTGTTGTTAAATGTTGTTGTGATATTGATGCTGAATATACTACTATTTTTTATTAAAGCATTGTTGTATGCTGCTCTTTTGCTTATTTCTTGCTTGGTTCTTGTGTGTGCTCACATGTTCTCTTAGGGCTTTCTAGTCCAACTTAATTTTTTATTAACCTTGGAGTAGGATAGACATTAGGTTGTTAACCCAAGCATAACAACATTAGGGTAAGTTTCCTTTTATCACAACTTTAAGTCCATCTTGCATGACAACATTGGGATAAAATCTCCTTTTAATCCTAACCTTAGAACCACATTGCATGATAACATCTAGGACCGAGTCTCCTTTAGATTTTGCATTATGTCTTTCTCTTCTTCCTTTTAATCAAGTCAAAACACTTAATAAATCTGATGTGTATAGTACGTCACGGGCCTTAAGCATATGAGAAGTGATGAGCGGAAGTCTCTCCTTACCTCGTCTAGATGGCTTTATGCGCGAGCCATCTCAGATCGGTCATATAAAGTGCTCGCTCCTATCGTCATAGACTTTAGCACGATACGCATCACAAACAGATTCAATTCATTTCTTTAAAACACTTCAACAAATGCAAATCATTTTATCCTTCGGGATTTTCTCTCCAAACCATTTTCAAAAGGGCATGTTATTTTTGTTCTACCACAAACAGGTAATGCGTAAGACTCACGACAACAAGCGGAAAACACCTAAACTGCTAGAACGTGAACGTAAGTATTACCCATAAAAAACACTAAGCAACCCGTGGTCCCACGAACTATGAACGCTCTGACTTTCTCATCCTTGCTGAGAATACGTAGGCACAAGGGCCCTAATCCTTGGTGAGCAACCTTCCCTTTCACTTGTAGTCCTCCGAACTATGTTGACTCTGACTTTCCCATTGCACGAGGCAATACGTAGGAATAGGATTGCAAGATCCTATCGAGTCCCCTTTGTTTTTTCTCCCTTTTCATTTTCGCACTCCCTTAGCGAGTAAGTCTTTAGATATACATACTCTTTGATTATAACAACAAGAGTGGATCCCGTTGAGTACAACGGACGCGAGGAATGCTAATACCTTCCTCTTGCGTAATTGACTCCCGAACCCTGAATTTGGTTGTGAGACCATGTTCTTTCCCTTTTGAGGTTTTCTCGATGTTTTCCTTTCTCTGTTGGGATAAATAAAGTTTGACGGCGACTTTGTGTCTTCGACGGGTGTTTTTGCGCAAGCGACACACCTCTATCACAACCAAATATAACTTTGTCACTTATTCCTCTCTTACCAGTTTTGGTGTCCGAACGGGTTATTATAATAGTAACTCTATTTATGATTCCTACCTTCCTAATCCACCTAGTCACCTCTTCTCGTGTATCAATTTTTTCTACAGTCGAGAATATCTCAGTCGTATCTACACATGTCTGATTTTTATCGCATATCATTAAAGGAATATCCATACGTGCTAAACATAAGTGTGACAAAAACTTATAAAATTAAAAATATGCGTTCAGGATCTTTTATAATTAAGAAATTCGGTTACTAACAAAACAACATCGGAACTCTTAATATAAGTTATTTGAAACTTAAAAAACATAAACCGGAAAACTCATCATATTATTAAAAAAACATAAACTGGAAAACTCATCATATTTAATCAAATATTAATATTTATTTTTTCATCATATTATTTATTATTCTATTATTTTATAATTTTATAATTTTTTAAACATTTATATTTATTATCATTAATAAAAAATAAATTCATAATTTTCTTTTTCGCATATAAATTTAATTATATTCATTAATTGAAATGAAATAGTCAAAGGTTTATATAATTTAAAATAGAGTGAATAATATTTTAATTCATTGTTATTTAAACATAAAGTTTACATTGTATATAAAATAAAATAAGCTACATCATATCAATATAAAATATTAGAAAAAAAATCAAAATTTGTGTTTATACAGTGTCTAATATAAAAATTTGTGTTCAAAATAATATTTTCTCATTTTCTTCTCGGTCCTTATCAATTTTATGTGCATTTTTCAGAACAAAAAAAGCTCATAAACGTTTTCTCTTTATCAATGGAGAGAGATATACTACCTTGGTTGCAACCTCCAACCGAAGAAGATCGACACACAACTGGAAACATCAACGACAATGGTGATGGTTTCAGAATTGATGATGAAGATCTTGCTTCTTTCAGGTCAATGTTGGAAATTGAGTGGTGCATGAACAATATGCCAACTCATAATGAACAAGTTGTCCCAAATTTTCAAATCCAAACCCAGCAGCACGAAAACTTTGTTTCTCCTTCAGATCTAAATGGTTCTATTACTATGCAACCTTTGGGTTCCTCCTCTTTTTCGGCACCATCCAACTTCAGTTTCTCTCATCTACTCAATACCGAAGGCAATATCAACAATATCATCAACACCTCCACCACCAACAACAATGAAGAAAACAACAACAATCCATTTGGAAGTGTCTTAAGTCTTGAACCCCAAAGTGACTTCCTAACTCCATTTCACGGGAATCAAGCAGACTTATCGGCCCAAATTGACCATTTATGCATATTCCCAAAAACTAGTGCACTTGGATATGTACCAACAGGTTTACAAGAAGAAAGCTCCTTTGGTGGTGGTTCAGGGTCTTCAAGTTCCATGTTTTTGAGTAATGACAAAGACTTCGGGCATGCAGAGATTCCTTCACCACTTCTCGCATCGCCTAATTTGTTGAACAATAAGGATATGAGTTCTAACATGAGCGAGGTAGATAAGTTGGTACCATTGTCGATTCCACAATTTACATCGACATGGTTGACGAAGTTTGATCAGAAGACGGAGAAAGAGCTAAATGGGGAGGTTTATAAAGAATTGAATTGTGAATCTAAGGAGGATGTTGTTATTGGTGGTAATCAGGGTGGCAATGATGATCAGGATGAAAATGGAATTGGTGAGGTGGATCCAAAAGGCAAGAAGAAGGAAAATCCATCAAAGAATCTCTTGGCTGAGAGGAGGAGAAGGAAGAAGCTCGATGATAAGATGTACACTCTTCGTTCAATTGTGCCAATTATCAGCAAGGTATGTAATCTTGTATACGAGTTCTTATTAGTTTTTAGGCTAAATACAATTTTTGTCTCGTATCTTTTACTCAAGATTCATTTTGGTCCCTTACATTAAATTTTTGGAACCAATTTAGTGACAATAAAATTGGTCTCTATAAGAGATTTTCTGAATTTTCTAGGAAGATAGAGTTGTGTAGAAAACTCTTCTAATTGTTTTCTAGGTTTTCAATGAAAAAAAGAGATCCATTTTCTCTATCATTTTTAGATCGAAATAAAATCACTATTTTCTATTGCTATATGTTTTTACCAAATGCCCTTGTTTTCCATGTTATTCGTGAATCTGGTAGTGCTGATATGATCTTTCTGTGTTCATCTGTCATTGCCCACCACCACCACATTTGACATAAATATTGAAATTCTCTTCAATTAAATTATGTTATTTTCACATAACAATAAATTCCTTTCAACATCAAAACATATCCCATGAAATAAAAAAATATTCTTATAGTTTATGGGTTTTTAATAACTTCTTGATTTTTTGGGTTTTCTGAATTTTCTAGGAAGAAAAAGTTGAGTAGAAAACTCTTCAAATAGTTTTCGGAGTTTTCAATAAAAAAACATTCATTTTCTCTACCATTATTAGACCAAAATAAAATCATTATTTTCTAACATAAGGCATTTATTTCTCATGTTCTTCATGATTCTCGTAATGTTGATACAATCTTTCTGTGTTCGTCTACCATTGCCCCCCACCACCACATATGACCCAAATATTGAATTTCTCTCAATTAAAATATGCTCTTTTCACATAACAATAAATTATTTTCAACACCAAGACAAATCGTGTGAATACAAAAATTGAATAGCATACATAAAATGAAATTAACTTAGAAAGTAAATATTAACTATTATGTTAGATACTTAAGTAAGATCGAGTAAGAAATAATTTGTAGTGGGGTTTGATTTTATTAAATATAAACCAATATATTGCTTGATATGAAACATGCTCAAGTGTTATTTTTTGAAACAAAAATGTAATATTTTGGTATATCAATTAAACAAATTGACTGAAATGGTGGTAGAAATTAAAATAATTGATGAAGATGAATTAAAACATAAATAATATTATTTTTTTTATTTGTATGGAGAAACAAAAAATTAAGTTGAAAGGAGAAACTTTAATTTTAAATCTGAAATTTTCTTAATCTAAAGGTGTAAGAAAGATCTTCGCATCTCATATAATCTTAAGTGAAACCATACTAATTTAAAAGGGCATAGAAGATCTTCTCTGCTTTCCAACTTTGACTTCTTCCACAAGGGTAAAGTAAGAAAAACCATAGTCTAACATTTAACTTTAGTTTTAGAATAGATTTAACAAAAATGAAATCATAGTGATTTATTTTTGGAAATGAAATCATAGTGATTAAGTTTTCTACATTTCCTTCCTTCCACCAAATTCAAGAAATTTCCCATTTTCTAGAAACGAAAACAAGAACCCAGGTTGGAGAAATACAAACAAACGTGATTGAATCTTTATGGTTGTGATAGTTGTTGATGGCTATTATTCTGACTTTTGTGAGTGTTCTTTCTTGTTCTTGTAATTCACCTTATTTCCTTGACAAAAATCCTAAATTTGTGAAAAAAATTCTTGATTTGAAATTACGATCTTCATCTTCTTTAAATTGGCTTGAGATTAGATTTATGTTTATTTTTTAATAAATTTTATTTATTATATTGCATACATAGTAGTTTCCACCTTGACAGAATAAAATGACACCTAGCCATTTCATATTATATATCAGCGTTGCATAGACTAACTCATTGACTTTGAATATTTGAGTAGATGAAAATGACTAACGTGAAATATTTTTGTATAGTTGAAGAACTATAATGGTATTTTAAAAATAAGGGACCAAATTGTATCTAGTCAAAGATAAATGACGAAAAGGGATATTCAGCCTATTTTTTATTATTATTGTGAACCATTTTTTAATAGAAATATTTAATGTTTCAAATAATCATGTTTTAATATTTTTTATTTTAGTTATAATACCCAAATCGATATAACTTAAAATTTAAAAAAAATTGAAAATACGCAAAATCAAATATTAGAAAATATTATTTGATTTTTTTATGTTTCTTTTTTTAAAATATATCTATATGTAATTTTATATTAAACTTAATATTTATTTTTTTAGTCAAATAGTTCAAATAGTTTAATGGCGAGAATCACACAATTAATATATGAAGAAGTATGTTCTAGGCAAGTCAGATGTTTGTGAAACTATCTACTAATTCATATTTATAAGACAATATTTACATTTTATTAATGTAAAAATATTATATTAATATTTTTATTTATAAAAATATATATTTCATAAATTTAACACATATTTTAAATATTGTTTATGCTACAAACATAGTAAATTATTTTTAATATTTAAAACATCAATTTTAATGATTGGTGCAAAAGAAGGGATGTAAGGCACCAAAGGTGTTTTAAGATCCAACTAGCTCGAGACAAAAAGAAATGCAAATATAAACAAAAAAATATAACATGTACCAAGCAAATCTTAGGACGATAAAAAAACAATCAGGTCTCAAATCGCAAGGCCTGTTAAGAGACCGATAAATGATGGAACTCTCAGCGCTAAGGGATCAAATAACCATTACAAAGGAGGCAAACAAAAATGGCTTGCAATATCTACAAGGAGAAGGAGGTAAAAACTGATAGCCATTATAGTCAACTTACCTCTATGAGAGATCAATCCCATAACCCAACATAGGAAGAAAAAACTTTTGTCTAAGAAAGCAAACAATGAAAACTAAGCCTCAACCCACCCATCTACAAGCCCAATGCAAAAGAAAAGACTTGTCATTCAATCAAGGAAACAATAAGAACTAATCTCATAAAAGGCAAAAAACCATTTTCACGAAGAAAATAAAATTATATCCCTTAATTTCTCTAAAAGTTGAGACCCTATAATAGAATACATACTCATTACGAGTCCTACAAATGATCCACGCCATAAAATGTCAAACCAAAAAATGAATACACCTAATATCGATACCAACACTTATTAGGATAAAGAGTTCAAGAAGACTAATAGTCAAAGAGTAGAAGACAACTACCCACCTCAACCACCTAAAAATAGTCTATCAAACCACGTGTGGAAATCATGTGATATATTGACTCTACGTTTTATAAGTCAAATTTCCCTTCCCTGACATTTTAGTAAGATCAATTATCTCGTTCAATGCCATTATTCCATCCACTAGATGTATACCTTTAATAAGGGTAGATTAATTGGAGGAAATAATCTCATCTATAATTGGGTTGAACCTAGTATCCAAGACTTTTGCTAAGATTTTGTATATGCACTCAAGAAATATTTTGACGAAAAATTATCCAAGTGAAGATGTGATTCCAACTTAAAGGACAGAGGTAATATAATACTATGTAAGACTCCTCAGAAGGATAATTTTGAAGAAAAACTTGTGGAATGTAGCCCTCATCTCACCTTTCAAGTAAGACCAAAACCTTTTAAAAAAAGGAGAAATTAAACACGTTAGGACCTAGACATTTATTACCATCATTACGTGTTACCGTATCATTAATCTTCAAAAAGATAAATGATATAGAAAGAACCACATTATCTCTAGTAGAAATATTGTAGATCTGGGTTCACTCAAGGTTTGGCTAGTTAAAAGGTGTTCTTGGTAATGCAAAAAAACCTTGGCCACCTCTTCAATCCAATCTTCCTCTAAACTCACAACTAATACCAAGTTCCTCATGGTACGTCTATTGACGCAATATTGAAAATAGATAGTTTCAGCGTCTCTATCTTTCCCCCACCTCTATCTTGGTATTTAGAATTGTGAGAATCTTTGAGTTTGAACCGATATGGAGGTCTGCAACTATTCTACTCTTCTCAGCCACCTATTCTAGTGAGGGGGAATTGTCTGCAACCAAAGGATTATACATCCTAATGGCATCCACAACACTAGTAATCCTTGACTCTGAATCCCCGAAGAACTCCCTCCACCATTTAAGACAAACTTTGAGGCCTTTCAACTTCTTTTTAAGGATGTCAATCATCATATCTGAGGAAACACATGACACAAACTTTGAGTGGTAACATCTTGGATGGAAAAATGATCCAACTAGTAATTATTAAACCTTAAATTCCTAGGAACTCATAATTACGTGAATTACCAAATAAGAAAGGGGTGATTATCAGAAACATCAAAGGTCGACATACTAAAATTATACCAATTCTCCTACCAGACATTAGACACTGAGACGCGGTCCAATCTACTCATAGTACCACATTGGGTTTGAACTAAATAAACCATATCCCAAACAAAGGATGGTTAACAATCACCATAAACACCACGAAATTATGAAACACATAAACCTCATCCTCAATGCTAAGAAGAATAGATCTCAAATCCCCTTCCAGTTGTTACCACCTAAGACCAAGTTAAAATTATGAAGCACATATATAACAAGACCCCCAAAAGACTCATTAGCTCTAACTAGTTGAACCCACAACAACCTTTTGTCATCAATATCACACTTTGAATAGAGAATATGGATTATCCTTTCAACTGACAACAGATAGAAATAATTCCCTCATTATAACCCACTAGCAAGGAGTAAATATGATTACAATACATATAACCCCAATGGGAATGAACGAGAGACACATCCACTACTTCAAACTTAGTATCTTGGATAATCATAAATTAAGGTTGTTCACCATAATAATGTCCCTAATCCTACCCTTCTTAATATTCCCTCTAAATCTTTAATAATAAAGGAGCCAATAATCATTTATCACCTTTAACACACTCATTGTTATCCTTTTGCATGTCATCCCTAACCTCTAGCACAGAAAAAATAACGACCTCTATATTATCTCCTGTATGAAATGTGAAACTTACCATCTTGGATAATGACAAAGTTTTATTGACATAAATAGTGTTTAATGGTTCATCGACACGTTTTGAGAACCTCTCACCAAAAAGAATGATTTAAGAGGTAACAACAGGAATAAATAATTCTCTATATGGGTTAATATTTTGGAACCAACGGAAATCTCCACATCCCACGAGGGAGGATTTGGGATAAAATCATTGGAAAAAATTAAGTCATATGGGATTCAAAGACCTACCTAGAACGACATAATTCAGTAAAGTGTGAGGATCCCTTCAAAAACCTACCATGTCTCGGTGTGAGGAAGTAAAAAGTCGTCCCTTCAAGAAACGTACCTGTTGGGATGAATGTTGATTTTTCTTTAAATTTTGAGTCAAAAGACTAGACATATTTAATTTTGATGTTACACGATAATGTGATTTTGGGGTGGAAGTTGATGCTCTGACGATTCTCGAAAAGACAATGATCTCAAAAATATCCTTGTTGCAACTTGATTTAAATCCACACAACCAATCTTTCAATACTAAAACTAGCTGACAAACTAACATTAGAATAGTAGGCTTCATAACATGGTTAGCAGTCCATATCAACTGTATGAGAAATATAAAATATCTTAGGCCTTCCGACAAAGAGTCAAACACTTTTTTAAAAAAGGATACCCAACATGAAACCTGTCACAAACCACTAACGGATCACAAGTTGACACAACGTGGGTGGAGATCGGCTTCCATAAAACTAGAATGGACAATGTAGATATGTCTTCTAACATTAAATGAGCCTATGTAGAAGCTAGACTTGATGTTCTTAGCCTGACACACAACATGCCCAACAAGCCTATTGAAAGTTGCCACATCACCCTTTCTCACATTTACCTTCAACGTTAGAGTTTATTTATTCTTATACCTATCTTTTCTTAAAAAATATTACAAAATACCCATTCCCCTTCATATATCCCAATATACCCCAATTTCAACCATGTCAAATTCATTCAATTTATACAACCATGTCACGTTGATGTTTGTGACAAGTAAAAATGTTATAATCAATTAGTAGGAGTATTGGGATTGGCATAGTCAATATGTTGTATAATTTTCAAGTGTTTCATTGGTATTCCATGATGATCAAAGTGGGCAGCATATACTTTACAGAGAAGCTACACAAGTAGATAAACCCAAAAGACCCTATAGGATTATATTCTCAAATAAAAATTTCTGAGAATGTGATGTCAATTCTGACTAAATGATCACGCCAAAGGGAAAACTCGTGTACACTATGCTTTATTTGTTGATACATATTAAGTGAAATGGGTCTACAACCGTGAAGAACCTCCTAAATGATTTCATTGCCAAATATAATGAAATGTTTTTTAATAAAGGGATTCTTACAAAAGCATGGTTTTGATTTCACAAAAGTTTTTGCATCATTTGCAAGAATTCAGACAACCTTTTCATTGGTATTTGTCGTTAATAACTTATTACAATGGAATCTTGTTTTACTAAATGTCAAGTATGCATTTCTCAATGTTTTCTTAAGGAGAAAACTTATGTTGAACAACCTCAAAGATTCATTATGAAAGGTTAAGAAGATAAGGTCTTACAACTCAATAAGGCTCTTTATGGCATAAAATAAGCTTCATGAACCTAGCACAAGAAGAAGGAAGAGTTTCTAAAGCAGATTGGCTATTCCAAGTGTACAATTTAACATGGAATTTATGTGAAACGTGTGAATCAAGACAATATTAGTATAATGTGTCTATATATAAATTATCTATTCATCACATGAATCAATCACGATAATATTTTGAATATCAAATTCAACATGAACACTGAATTTGATATGACTGAATTAAGAGATCTAATTTACTAATAGTTAACAAAAGAAAATACATCAGTAATATCTTGAAGAAAATTAGTATGCTAAGCTACAACTTGGCATGTACTCCTATTGAAGAAAATTCAAAATTAAGAAAATACATACATGGAAATGTTGTATATAGAAAAATATACTAGAAAATTGTAGGATGCTTAAGGTATTCTTGCAATTCCATACCCAATGTATGCCACAATGTTAGTGTGTAAGATGATTTATCCATTAACTTAAACTGTCATATATTCAAGTTTCCAAAGGATCATGAGATTTCTTAAAGGCACAATATAGCATGTTATCATATTTACAAAACCTTATGATCATAGGGATAAGCTAATTAGTTTTAGTGACTCATATTGGTGTGAAGATAAAGTAAAATGAAGAAGCACAATGTGATATGTGTTCAAGATATTCAATTCTCCAATTTTATGATGGCTCTAGAAGAAAACAGTGGTGGCCATATCTTCTTGTGAAGCTGAGTATGTCTTAACTTGTAATGCAACTTGTTAATAAGCATGGTTGAAATCTAATTTGTTGATTGAAATGAAGGTAGGCATTGAGGAATTAATTGAACTAACATTAGACAATGATTAAGCTAGTAGAGAATTCATAGCTCATGGAAGTAGCAAACACATTGAAATCAAATTTCACTTTTTTAGAGATCAAGTAACAAATGTAACACATGCCCCTTTTTCTCAAATTAGCATTTGAAATATTCTTAGTAATTATGTTTGGTATTTATATAATGCGAAATGACACATATATATTTATGATCCAAAAGTATGATTTGAGTTGTTATTATGGGAAAATATATGGACACCAATTATAACACCTGCACTGTATTACTATACCTAAAATCTATTAATTTTATTTGGTTTAATAATTTTTCTTACTTTGATTTCTGTGCAACAATATTTTGTTTAATTGTTTTATAAGGTGTGGATACGGTGTATGAAAAAATCGGTGTCAAAATATCACAGCTCTTGTTATTATACATATGACAACTTTATAAATCTAAAATTTAACATGTGCTTTTGAGTTTCTCTTATTGCATAGGTTATGAATAATAAACCATTTGATCCCTTAATAATATGTATGAGATGATTCAAGTTTATGTATTTCATTTTTCTCATAGATGGATAAAGCTTCGATACTTGGAGATGCTGTTGAATACTTGAATGAGTTACGACAAAAAGTTAGTGATCTTCAAACTGAGCTTGGGTCAATTTCTCTTGGACCATCTCTCGCACCCACCACTTCAACCCTTCCTGTGCAAGTGAATGAAGAATTATATCATAGCTATGTGTCAAGCCCTAGAAACCAATCAACAAAGGTATTTATATACTGTACTGCAAATTTGTTATTCCCTATAAATTTTCTATTCATAAAACTTTAGTTGAGCTCGTACAAATTTTGCAGGTAGAGACATGGGAAATGGAAGATGGAACTGTCAACATCCATATGTTTTGTGCCTACAAACCAGGTGTTTTGGTTTCAATTATGAAGGCATTTGATATCCTTGGATTGGACATTCACCAGGCTACCATAAGTTGTTTCAATGGGTTTACCATAGATGTATACAAAGCTGAGGTATATATCTATTTTTCATAGCCATGTTTTATACAGAATTTAATGTTTGAATATGTTGCTCATTGATTATAAACTAATCATTGTCTTAATAAGTTTTTATATATTGCCTTTGGTTTTTGATGTTTGTTTCCAGCAATGCATACAAGGTGAGAAAGTGAACACTGAACTAATTAAGGCAGTGTTGGTGAATGCAGTGGATTACCATATGGCATGATGTGACTGAAGTTATGGACAAATGCATGTTATCTTTACAAATGCAATGGTTGTAGTTGTTATAGCATGCAGTTATTGTTTTTTTTTATGAAAAGTTATACCTAGACCAGTATCAAAATTGTTATGAGCACTTAATTTTTTTTTTTTTTTTTAATTTTCTATGGATTTTAGCACAACATGCTTTTATTACTTTAAAGGTATGGAAGAGATTGTTAATTTAACTTATTTGTCTTGCTGAGTGTGGTTTTTTTTCTTACTAGTTTAGAAATTTGATCACTGAGGCGACGTGTTTAAATGCACTAAGATTGTGTTAAAAAAATTTAATTGATTATTTGTGTTGAGTTTCTTAAAAACCATGGTAGATTTTTGACTCACTTGTCTGGTTCAATCTTTTTGGGTTGCCTGAGTTCAAATTTTCTCAATTAGGTTGTAGGTGTTTTAGGCTTAAGGTTGAATGCAAAACATGTCTGTAGTAACTTCTGTGTTCTTGAATTATTGGTTGTGTTAAATGCAATAGATAGCTTATGCTTATCAGAATTTAACTTTTTCTGTTTTTCCTATGATGCAATTAGTTCGTTATATTAACTAATTCTCCTATTTTCACAGTGGATAATTAGTTAATTAGTTATATGACTTTACATCTCCTACAAATTTAACAAATTAGATTATCACCAAAATTACATTTGCATCATTTTACCCCGGCTCTAATCTTATGACACATCACCCCTTTTAAGGATTTTAGTGACAATTTACACCATTTTTATTTAAAACATTTTATAGTATCATTTAAAACATTTTATTATAGCATTCAAATATGCACATGTATCTTTAACAAAAAATTTATTCAGTGTTTGGGAATATCTCATTTTATTTACATATAACTTTTTATTATTATAAAAAATAATTTTTTATTAATAAAATGACAAGTTTTTATAAACTTTAGAAAATCAATTGCTAGAGAATTTACTTGACAATCTTTTTTCTTTCTTTATCTTAATATTAACATGTATTCTTTTTGAAATTTTTATTTGTAATTTTAATTTATACATTAAATTAATTCAATAATATAAAAAATGTTATCATAACAAATTAAGTTAATAATAGATAACAAAAAACCTTTGATGCTTGAAATTCTAATGATTGTGTTGTGAATCGGATACCTTAAAACTAAGTATAAACAGTTTCTTAATGATCAAGAAACACACAAGGGTTAGGGTTAATAAAGAAGAAAACAACAAGGATTGGTTATTAAACTGTTATTCTTTCCTTTCTCTTAGAACAAGATTACAAGTATACATGAATAACAAAATAATCTCTCTCTCTTGAAATTAGGATTTTATCTTCCTATTTTTCCTTATATCAAGATTGAGAAACTAACATCCAATTTATAAGAAAAATAACACACTAACCTAATGAGCTTTTGAACAATTATCCATTACAAGCTAATTTAAACAATTGAGCTTACAAGTAAGGTCTAATTCAACATGCTAACAACCCTAGCAATATTGACTAATGCATGTTAAAACAGACTTTGACAGGTATCAAAAGAGACTACAGCATCGAGATTATGGGTGAAACTTGAAATTTTGTACATGACCAAATCTCTGGTCAATCGACTATACCTAAAGCAAGCATTGTATTCATTCAACATGCATTAGTCAATATTTTTAGGTTGTTAGCGTATTAGATTGGGCCTTGCTTGTAAGCCCAAGTGTTTAAGTTAGCTTGTACCCTAAGTTAGATTGTAATAGGTAATTGTTAAAAAGCCCATTAGGTTAGTGTGATATTTTTCTTATAAATAGGATGTTAGTTTCTCAATCTTGATATAAGGAAAAATAGGAAGATAAAATCCTAATTTCAAGTGAGAGAGGTTATTTTGTTATTCTTGTATACTTGTAATCTTGTTATAAGAGAAAGGAAAGAATAACGGTTTATAATCAATCCTTGTTGTTCCTTGTTGTTTTACCTTGTCTTCTTTGTTAACCCTAACCCTTGTGTGTTTTTTGATCATTAAGAAACCGTTTATACTTTATTTCAAGGTATCTGATTCACAATATTACGAAACCTAAAATCATAGAAGTATTATTGTTAAAAGAAATTGTGTGCGCAAATAAGGGTTTAGGGTTGAGTCTTCTTTTAGTATGTTGTTGTATTGTGTGTCACTCGTGTATTCTCTGATACATTGAGGTAGATTGTTTGTGAGTCATTCATTCATCATCTAGATGCTTGAACTAGGCTAATATTATTGAGTTGTAAGTGTTCACTCTAAGCTTTTAAGAAAGAGTGTATTTTACTTGATTGAAGCTTTTAAGAAAGATCAAGTATTGTCTTTGCAGTGTGCCTTCTTTTAATTTAGTGTTAAATTCATCACTGCTGTTGTGATTGGAAAGGAAGTGAGAGGGGATTCTCATATCTAGGGATGTCTTAAGTAGAAATTAAATTGGGTAGGGATTAAGTGAGAAGTTGTAAAATGAGATTATTTAGCTTTGAATTAATACTACTAATAGCGGATTTTCTTCATGGCTTGGTAGCCCCTAGACGTAGGTGTTGTTGCATACCAAACTGGGTTAACAACTCTCTGTGTTCTATTATTTCTTTGTACCTTTAACTGTGTGTTATTTTTTCGTTGTGTTTTAAACAGATATCAGTGTCTCGACATCTCTTAGAACATCTAATATCTACATACCATAATTTCAATTGGTATCGGAGTAGGCACTCTGCTCTGAATTTGGGTGAGATCCAGGGAAGATACTTTCTAGTACTATGGACAAGGAAGGAGAATTTATGAACAGACCTCCCATTCTTGATGGAACTAATTATGACTATTGGAAAGCAAGTATGGTGGTCTTTCTGGAGTCTATGGACGTCAAGGTTTGGAAGTCTATCGTCAAGGGATGGGATCCACCGATGGCTAAAGATAAGGATGGCAAGATTATTGATATGTTGAAGGCTGGGGAAGACTTGGATAATGAAGATGACAAGCTAGCTCAAGGAAACTCCAAAGCATTGAATGTTTTGTTCAATGGTGTGGACAAGAACATCTTCAGATTGATAAATAATTATACTATTGCTAAAGATGATTAGGAGATTTTGAAGACTGCTCATGAAAGAACCTCTAAGGTGAAGATGTCAAGACTTTAACTTCTTACCACCAAGTTTGAGAACTTGAAAATTAAAGAGGATGAGAGCATTCATGATATTCACATGAATATTATTGAGATATCTAATGCCTCAAGTGCCCTGGGGGAGAAGATGTCAGAAGCTAAATTGGTCAGAAAAATTCTCAGGTCTCTTCCAAAGAGATTTGACATGAAAGTAACTGCCATTGAAGAAGCGCAAGACATAAACAACATGAAAGTTGATGAACTTGTGAGATCTCTTCAGACCTTTGACTTAGAAATCAGTGAAAAGTCTGAAAATAAGAATAACATAACCTTTGTGGCTAATGTTAAAGACTCAGAGGATAAGTGTGACCTAGATACAATGAAGGTATGTCTAATGCTATTGTACTTCTTGGGAGGCAATTCAATAAGGTTCTAAAAATGATGGGCAGAAGAGGAAGATCACGTGTCAAGAACATCTCATCTGACATTAGAAATAACAATGACTCTCAAAAGAATGTCAGGACTGTAGAGAAATCAAATCAAAGCAAAAGAATACAATGCTATGAGTGTGAGGGTTTTGGTCACATCAAGTCAAAATGTCCCACCTTTCTTAAGAACCAGAAAAAAGGATTGTTTGTATCATGGTCTGATGATGATGAGTCAGAAGATGAATCTAACTCTGAAACTGTTAATCTTGTGACTGCTATCTCTGGTAGATGGGTTGATGAAGAAGAATCTTGTGCAGAAAATTTCCTCTATAAAGATTTGGGCATGTCTTACAAGGAAACCTATGACAAGTGTGAAGAATATCTTAAGACAGAGGAAAATTAGAGGAAGATCATAGTTGCACTGGAGAATGAGAATAAGGAACTTCTATGTACTATTTATCAGCTGCAAGATGAGTTAACCTTCCTGAAATCTAAGCTTAATAACATAACAGGCTCAGTAAGAAGGATGAAAAATGAATATGATGTGATGAAAGATTATGAAGATGTAAGAGGTGATGGTTAGCAAAATAATAAGTTTGTAGAAAAATTCTTCCCTGTTGAAAGGAAGAAAATAATCACCATGTCCAACCACATGTTACAACATCCTGGCAGACAAGATGTATCTTCAACAAAATCTCAATCATCAATTTAGAGGTGTCATTACTGTGATGAGTATGGTCATATTAAGCCTTTTTGTTATAAGTTGTACGAAGTACAACAATCTTCAGCTCGTTCTAAGGCGAATCAAGTAAGGAAGAAGAAAAGGTCTATCAACAGGAATGTGAATCTTATAGCTCACACCTCCTTGAAGACTTCAACTAGAGAAAACTGGTACTTTGACAATGGATGCTCTAGACACATGACAAGGATTCAGAGGTTGTTGGTGGATATTAGGTCTCAGCCCTCAGGTTATGTCAAATTTGGTGATGGATTTAAAATAGAAATTAAAGGAGTGGAAAGATTGGTGTGTGCTGGTTTTCCTAATTTAGAAGATGTACTTCTTGTGAAAGGATAAACTGCTAATCTTATTAGCATTAGTCAGCTATGTGATCAAGGTTTGCTGGTCAAATTTTCAAAGTTAGAATGCTTAGTCAAAGATGAGAAATATGTTATTATAATGAGGGGTATAAGGTCTAAAGACAACTGCTATCTATGGGAACCTCAAATAACGAATTATTCTTCCACATGTTCTATAACCAATGAGGATGAAGTGAAGTTATGGCACCAGAATCTTGGACATCTCCATCCCAAAAGAATGAAGGATATAATGTCTGAAGGATCCATTAGAGGAATGCCAGATCTTAAGATTAAAGAAGGGAAAGTTTGTGGTGAGTATGAGATTAAAAAGCAATTCATGATGTCTCACACAATGTTGCAATAACAGACTACCTCCATAGTACTGGAACTTC